GGTATCAAGCCTTGAGCATCCGAATGATGGCATCTTTGGGAAAAGGCGAAGTATGTGGATGAAGACAGATGATGAAGCATGCCAGACGAGGTAGGTGCCGGCGAAACCATTCACCGAGACGCCAAAGAATGTCGCGCTCCCCACCACCCCACCATCGTTTGGTCGATCTCACAGCAAAGTTCCCACGGTCTCTACCTTGCCTCGTTTCCTCTCGTCTCCTCCCTACCTACCTTGTTCTGCGACACCCTACACCGTCACAATGAGCGACGCGACGCCTACACCTGAACCAGAAACCCTCGAAGCGCTACAATCTCGGCATCGCAAAGAGCAACGCGACCTCGTATCCCGTATAACACAAAAGAAGAAACAAGCGAGCAAAAAGACACGAAAGGGCGTCAACGATGAGTGCGAACGACTCGAGCGCGAATTGAAAGAGCGGCAGGCGCATGAACTCGCCGTGCTGAACGGAGAGGCTGTGGATGCGGAGGAACAAGCAGAGGACCCACAAAGCTCTGGGGATGAAGCGCAGGATATTCAAGAAGACATGTCCAATCTCCGAGTAGATGGTGCTGGATCGGATAGCAAAGACGGCAGCACCAATGGCGATTCCACCGAGCCCAAGAAGAAGAAGCCGAACCGTGCCAAAGCCCGCCTCGCCCGTCGCGCCGCCGAACAAGCCTCCATCATCGCAGAAGCAGAGCGCGAAGCTGCCAACGCGCCGAACCCACGCGAACTAGAACGAGAACGCATGGCGACACAATTACAAAAACACGGGCTGGCGCTGCATGAGATACGCGCGGATGGTCATTGTCTATACGCTGCAGTCGCGGACCAACTGCAGACACGGGAATTGGGCTTGAAGCCAAGGATAGGTGTCACCATCAATGGACAGGGAGATCAGGGACTGGACGCTAAATCAGAGGCATACAAGACGGTCAGGCACGCGGCAGCAGACTGGATCCAAGGCCACGCGGACGACTTTTCGGGCTTCATGGAAGACCCGTTGCCGGAGCATGTGCGCAAGATCAAAGAGACAGGCGAATGGGGTGGCCATTTGGAACTGCTAGCATTGGCTCGGACATACAGTCTAAGAATATGCGTGCTGCACAGTGATGGGCAGGTGGACCGGATAGAGGCCGAGGACGAGGTCAAAGAGAAGGAAGAAATCTGGCTGGGATACTACAAGCACAGTCACGGTCTAGGCGAGCATTACAACTCGCTACGCAAGGTTGGATGAGACTGAGAGCGGTAATGCAGATACTGGCATTTACAAAACGGTTACCAGAGATATGCAGCCCGTCAGCAACCTACTACGCTCAATGCCACCTCTGCTCGTCCGGACAATCCGCCTTGTGCCGCCACATACTCACGCAGTCTCGTACGAGACCTTTTATCACACCAGCGTCGTGGGTCCTCCTAGGCGTATAGTGCGCGATCTTGACCAGCGCGTTATCCGTCTCCTCTCTATCCGTCTTTGTCACCACGCCCTGATCGTCATACGAGATATCCTCACCTGGCTGCTTGAGCAGCTCAGTGTGTACAAGCGGCGGAAGCGACCACGGAGGACCGCCGGAGGACGCGGGCTTATGTGTTGGGAACTCGAGACAGATGAGGACACCGCCCGTAGACGGGGAGTTCGCGGTCGGGCGGCGGAGAAGCGCCGTCATTCGAGATGCCCACTTTGGCCTTAGCGACAGAGGGAGCGCGCAGAGGAACTACTTATCGCATCAGTACAGAACACCAGGCAATGTTCACGAGGCACGTCTGGGACTCTACTCACCGTAATGTCGTAGATAATGTCAAATCCTTCATCACCCTCCCAGCCCTCTACATCTGCCAACCAGCCATCCTCAAAGAAATCCCCACATACAACATTCATCGCCCCATTACCGATCTTCTCATCTGCCACCCTGTATTCTCCTTCCAACGGGCCCTTGCCAGCGTCCTGTAGATAACCCTTCGCAGCCTCAGCAGCATGCGAGGACACCTCCAGCCCATAAGCGTCATATCCATGCGCCGCGAAGAGCGCTACATCGTATCCCTTTCCACACCCCGGCACAAGCACCCTCCTCCTCTTCTTATCGTCTCGTAAAGGTCCAGCGAGTGACGCAAAACCCGCCGATTCGCTATTTGGTGGTGGTGCGCCGAGTGAAGGATTTGGGTCTGGGGACGACAATGGGCGACCACGCTCTTGCAGCAGGTCAATCAATGCGGGGTTCGCGTGACCACGATCCCAAGGTAGGAATGTAGAATCTCTCCATAGGTCGTCCCAGCGGTTATTGTGTTCTTTGTCGGGAGTCGAGGAGAAGTGTGTTCGGAGGCGGTCTTGGTTCTGGGTTGCCATGACGTGGGCAATCGGATTGTGGTATATGGCGAGGTCGATTGAGTTCGCATCGAAGACCAATGGCTTGATGGTGTCGTGGAATAGCTCTCGACGATGACGGAATGAGGAAGCCGAGGCCACGATGGGCCCTTCCAAGCCATTTTAAGCTAACCCATCTTTACCCCGCCAAAACTTGCTCGCACGACAACGCCAAATGTGACGATAACGGCCTTGCAGATGCGATCGGATCCTGCCATGTCAACCTTGAGAGTGTTTGCACTTCGCTGGCAGATGCACACACATAAGCATCCAACGGGCTGACTTCGCTGCGGCCCTATGACAGATACGACAGATCTACACCTGGCACATCCCGTGCCGTGAAGCTCCAATTACCCGGATCGCAAGCATGCTTCCTACTGGGCCCACCCTTGCTTCGGATATAATTAATGCGATTTGTTTCCGCATGGCAAACCGCCTGTCTCGGCAGTCACTTCTGCTTAGTTATCCCTCAACAACTGCGTTTCGCTGGGTTTCGTCTGGAGTCATGGCCTGGTTTGACTTTTCTTCGCCCACATTCCCCGTGTTGAGGACACGCTGCGGTGTACATAGCGTACAGGTACGCGTTGATAGTATGCTGAAGAGCTAGAGATAGCGGCTGTCGACAACCGAGGTATTACGACGCATACGGAAAAGAGCAGGTGCACGCGGAAATCAATGCAAGCTGTCGATTGACATAACCTTGTGAAGATCGGGTCGTTGCGTTACTTGGCTTTCTTTCTTTCTTGTCGTTTTTGCAACGGGCAATGATGGCAGACGACGAGAAGGCAAGATCGCCTTCCGGGATGTTGAAACAGGAGAATGTGCCGGACCGAGGCATCGAAGAAGAGACGAAATTAGAACAGGAAGAAATATCGGAAAAAGATATGTTAGAAACAAGCAACCAAGGGAACGACGACACAATGTCAATTTCGTCATCACGAGCGTCAACGGCTTCAACGCACTCCACCAATGCCGACCAGCCGAGAACATCGAATACGAAACAACGTCCAGTTACTCTGGCAAGAACCACCTCAGTTCTACCCGATGCCGTCATTGTCCCACGATCACAGCGCCGTGGACTCCTTGCGCGCTTCGCGCTCATCCCAGAGGTTGAGAACCCAGAACACTACGCGCGGCAAACGAAATGGCTTCTGACATTCATTGTCGCCTTTTGTGCCATGGCAGCACCGATGGGTAGCGCAATCGTTATGCCAGTGTTGCAAGAGATTAGCGTAGCTTTCAATGCAACGGAGACGGTTACCAACATGAGCGTTGCTGTATACATGCTTAGCATGTCCATCTTCCCGTTGTGGTGGAGCTCCTTCTCTGAACGATTGGGTAGACGTACGATATACATCACCTCGTTCATACTCTTCGTATTGTTCGCTATTCTCTCTGCGATCAGCACAAGCATCGCTATGCTGATCGTCTTCCGTGTTCTGTCTGGAGGCGCAGCGGCATCCGTACAGGCTGTAGGCGCAGGGACTATCGCTGATGTTTGGGAGACGAAAGAGCGCGGAAGGGCAATGGGCATCTTCTACCTTGGACCACTCTGTGGACCTCTCTTCGCGCCCATTATCGGTGGCGCTTTGGGGTCAGGACTAGGCTGGCGATCAACACAATGGTTCCTTGTCATCTACGGTGGGCTGACATTGATATTTATCATATTTGCTCTTCCGGAGACCCTGCATCGAAAAGAGAAACCCTCCGCGGACCCAACAGCCCTACCCAACAACGATGCCGGGAAAGAACAAAGTACAACGCTCGGAAGAAGCACCACACGTGCCTCCACTGTCCAGAAGACTAAGAGCATGTTACTACACCTACGCCACATCTTCATCGATCCACTGCGAATCATAGCATGGCTCCGCTTCCCACCCGTCTTCCTAACCGTTTACTACGCCAGTATAACATTCGGCTGCCTCTACATCCTCAACATCAGCATCCAATCCACCTTCGCCGCTCAGCCCTACTCCTTCTCCACCCTCATAATCGGCCTACTTTATATCCCCAACTCGGTCGGCTACCTCCTCGCCTCACTCTTCGGCGGCAAATGGATCGACAGCATCATGCACCGCGAAGCACGGAAAGCAGGCCGCTACGACGACAGAGGCAAACTCATCTTCCGCCCCGAAGACCGGATGAAGGAGAATGCGTGGATCGCTGCTATCCTCTGGCCTTCGGCTCTTATCGTCTATGGTTGGACCGCGGAGAAGGGTATCCACTGGATTGTGCCTATGATTAGTAACTTCTTCTTTGGCATAGGCAGTATGCTTATCTTTGCGTTGGTCAATACCATGCTCACGGAGTTCATGCCCAGACGCGCTGCGTCCGGAATTGCACTGAACAACTTCGTGAGAAATATCTTCTCTTTCACTGGCGCGGTGGTTGCGGAACCGATATTGAGTGCGATAGGAAACGGGTGGTTGATGACGATTCTGGGCATTTGGAGTGTGGTCACGGGGTGTATGGCGCTCTATGCGATGGGCAGATGGGGTGAGAAGTGGAGGGAAGCTATGGTCAAGGTTTTGGGGTGATTGATCAGGATTTGTAAATGATTGTGTTTAGTAGTCTCATGAGAAGTATCGTTCAGCATACTAGATGGTAGGCGATGTGAAAGCAATAAAGATATCGAATCTCACACCACAACCGACGCCTCAACAAGAACTTCGTCTTCCTCGTCCAGCTCGCGCTTGATCTTCTCAGACTCGTCCAATATTGTCCGTCCGATCGCCGCGTATGCGGAGCCATAGACAAGCCGCCGGTCGCCATTGTCGCTCACCGTACGTAGTACTTGGTCATGCTCACGGTTCATGTCAGTAGTCGCAGTGGCGGTCTTTTCATTGGGAAGCCTGGACGCAGTCAAGATAAGATGTGTGTCTCATTCGCCAGTCGATACACGCTGCCCATTGCTCGGTGCCATTGCAGAAAGTGGTTTCACCCAAGTCACCAGAGCTTGCCGAATCAGCTTTTGCGATGTTGAAGCCCCGGCCAGTGTAATAGTATCCTCCACCCATTTGGCAGAAGAGTTCCTCGCTCAGCCGATACTCCGTTTCGTCCGCCATATGGCAGATTGTGTAGCTTTTGGTTTCGTAGCTGCGTGTCATCGATCCTTCAGACTTCAAATATTTGCCGACGTTGGTGACTAGCGTCATGATGCGGTTGGTAGATTTTTGCGAAGCATGCTGGTTCATGCGGCGATGAGGATGGCTGGTGACCCCAAAATACTTGAAGGGATTGTTCACGACCGACTTGCTACTGCCTCTGTCAGGGTTGTGTTGGAGCAGATTTCGATCTACCGCCTCACAAAACGTTTCAATGCGCTCGGCACGAATCTGGCGCCCAAGGTAGCGGTGACGACCTTGCTTGATCTCAGCAGCGCTGGTGTGTCCACGAGTCTGGCTGTCGATGGTGGCGTTCTGTTGGGCTGATCGGGGGTCTCCGGAGATACACCAGGATAGGTGGTCGATGATCAGCTCAATGTCCTGCTGGCTGGGAGGGTTGCCCTGCTTGTCGACATATGCGCGCATGTACAGCGTGGGCACAAACTTATCAGAGAGCTCGCTGTCTCGCTGGACACACGGAGACTGGTCTGCAAACGGTATGCTCTTGTCATCATGCAAATTGGCCTATCATTGTGTGAGATGCAGGTAGTGCGTCGGAAGTTAATCCATGGATCTGTCGCGGAGGGCGGGTGCGGGGTGGCAGACGGTTAGAGAGGAAAGTACGACTCACGACTACCATAGCACGCCACGTGATCACTGGCATTGGGAAGGTGAAGCCGCGCAAATTGACCTAGCGCGATAGCGAAAATGATAAACCTCCAACCGTACTTGCTTTGCTAACGTAGGATTAGCTCCTGGGCCCCAGAGCCATGGCTTCCCCAAGCGGTCTCTCTCAAGGCCAATGGAGCTTTGCGTTCGAGGATTGATCAATCTCGCCAGCCTGAGATCCGCCGTCCCAATCCTGGGTAACAATTCCGCGCTACCATTACAATTTGTGAGATCGATTACGGGGACGCACCATGACCGACCATAAGAGACAGCGAAGCAACGAGTCGGGTCTCTTCCGACCACGCTCAATCCGCCGCGCAAGATCGCTAGACACTTCTAGCTTGCACTGGTCACAGCACGACGCAACTACTTCACAAGCCCATCGGAACCAGCTGCGGCGTCTCGCGCAGTCTCCAGACAACTCCCTCCTCCATCTAACCACCATGACTCCGTTTCCTCTTCTAGGTACGAGATCATCCTATCGCGTATGCTCTCCCGGCATGCCACGACTGCCAGTACACACAACTCGGCATCAAGGCTTCCGCGAATGGCTAGCCGGCGGCCCTATGCTTGAAGTTCACCAGATACTGCGAAAAGCCTCGGTTCGCTACTACGATGTCGAAATAGTCAGCCGAAAACCGTTCAAGACACCCGGTCCGGACAGCGAGTACAACAAGACTGTAACTGTTTTAGCAGATATCTCGGTGGCAGATGCCCACGCCAACTGGGCCATCGTAGCACGAACGATTCTGGACCGGTTGATAGCCCTGGGGCGCGACGACATAAATGTCGAGATCGTGGACGTCGAAGCGGCCTTGGAGTTCAATAACGCCGTCGTTGAAGACGACGAAACAGTGCAAGAGTGGCATAACGTCCATATACAGATGATCCAAGAACTTGGCGAGATGCAATGGAACAGCATTGATGTTCTTGAGAGGTCCCTGGGCCAAGTCAAGCAAATGGCTTCGCCACCTATGTATATCACAACGTCTGATACGAACGACCCAAAGTGGTGGGACGAGGTATTGCCGCGCTTTCGAAATCGAGCTCATACACGGCGAGCCAGTCGTTGGTCAAAACACGACACCATTCGATGGGGGTAGTCTAGGTATAGATATCTTGGAAAGATGTATCTGAAGAAAGGTGGGATGATGATTAGATCTATAGACGAGCAGTACTACCTATACAAGGCAAATACGTTTGCTAACAACAAAGAAGCAATCTGATTGTACATGAGATGGAAGCTAATGGAGAACAACAATATAAAGTAAAAGATAGCTCATGATAATAAAGCTGATGTACTCTATCGGCTCATTCTCCATCAGCACGTCGAACTTGCACATAATCATACATCAGCTCGACGATGGACAGTCGAGCCATGAAGAATGTAGGTCATTAGATAGCTTCGCTGATGGTCTATGCGACTAGGTATAGAGGGTACCTTCAGTGTGCTTTCGGGTTCGGGTATATGTCGAAGTTGCAAGGAACCAAAAAACATTTTTTAAGCCTGAAGCATACATTGTCTCAAACATCACTTACTTGTTAACATTTAATGCTTTGTATGCGGTAACCTCGTATCAACCCACTGTATACGTCATCTTCGATTGATTCAATCATCTCTCATTTCATTGTATGTTGACACGAATGGTAGCGCAAGGCATTCCTCCAACGATCCGCTCCGTCCCTGACTAGATGGTCTCGGTTAAGGGGAGGACACTACGAAGCTCCCTAAGGCAGTCTTCCATTTCTGACTTCCATCTACTCTGTGTAAACATGAGCAGCATGAGGATATTTTTGCGAAAGGTTGATATCTCGCGATTATCGGCAGTGGTTGCGAAAGTAGCGACCCGGTGATCCAACATCATCTGTATCTTCTGCTCGGGACTTTGGTTGTCGAATTCCTGCAGGAGTTCTTGATCAAGGTCCTTTCCTTGCTCTTTGTATGCGTCGATGAAGGAACTGATTGTTCTCTCCGCTGGCTCCAGATAAAGCTCAGCCGCCTGGATTAGCATGCTGCCGTACCAATCATCCGCTGCTACCAGCATCTCGTAACGTTGCGTGATTTCCAACTCTTCATTCTTCAAAATGGAGTCGGTGTACTTGGGTAGTCCTTTCAATTCGGTAATAGCCTCTTGGAGGAGGACCGAGGCGGCCCGCGCCTTCCTGGCTGGTGGAACGGTTATATGAACTAGCGCAGTGGTACCCTCTGGGGCGGCGGAAGACTGGTTATTTAGTTTCATCGTCCACTCCTCGAAGGAACCCAGGGGTCCAATATCGTCGAGGCTGGTCACGTTGGCCTTTGTTGTAAGTTAGATCGTGGTAATGCATTCGGGAAGCATACCTTACGTAGATGTTCTCTGATTTGATGTCTAAGAGACCCTGGGCAACCATTCTGTCCAACTCCTCCTTCTGGTTGGCCAACTTTCCCACAAACTGAGTCACTTCATCCGCACGTTCCTTCTGGCTTGCTGACCTTCGTTGGAACTTCCCTTTGATATCGTTTCCAGACATGCTAGTGGCGTCGTAGTATTGGCTCGGTTGCACGTTGGTTCAGAGCGGACTTCGGGAGTGTGAATCAGGTCAGGCTCTGTGCAGGAGAGAATCGCAAGCTTTATTCCAATCGCGTGCTTGATGTCCATTGTTTGTGGTTTGGGCACTGGGACCGTCGCGTTCAAGCGCTCCTCGATTGTCTGGTTGTTCATGCTAGATCAGTGATCACCGGCTGAGTTAGAGTAAAGCACACCTGTGCGGTGGCAGTCTGCATGGTACTGATAGCTGCGCCAACACTTGCTCTGGGTTTGATGGGACTGTGACTGATTACGTCCATACATAGCTGCAGCTTACATCGTAACTGCTGATGGAGACGATGCGACTGGAGTACCCATACTCTGGCAAAGTTTGCGATGGTTCTGCAGATAGACCAAATAGCGCGCAAGGTGATATACCATCAGTCAAAGGCGTTGACGACGCGATGAGCAGGGCGTACTCTGGTCTGACTTGGTCTAAAGACGTCAGGCTCAGAGCCAGAGTCATCCTCGACAAGGTAACGAGCAGGACGCACTGTGGTGGTCTAATCTGGATCCGAGAACGACTGCGGCACATGGTAGGGTGTCGAGAAGATTGGAGGGTATGACGTCATGTAGGCTGGGGCGTTGTAGCCATAGACACCTCCTTAAAGTACTGGGGAGCCATATACCATAGGCATCGGTGTCTGATGATACCCGCACTGCGTGAACGGGGGATGAGGAGGACTCTGACTTGTCATTGGAGGATAGTAGCCGATTTCTGTCTACGCAATGATAGTACCGTCGGGCAACTTGAGTACTTGTTGCATCCGCAAAGATGCGTCGAAACCGGTGCTATAGCGGGGCACCTCTTCTAATTCTTCATCCGAGCTCTCCACCAGGCGCGAAGGCCGGCGCATCGAAGATTTCGCGTTAGATCTGGGTGTTGTTGCTGATTAATGTTAGATAGTGATACCCATAATCGTGTCGTAGGTTGTGCCACTTACCAGATATGCGAGCCTGTCTACAAGAGGAGCGAGTGAATATGTACCTGATTAAGCAAGGCTGACACAGTAGCGCGACACGATGACTGGAACCCGACTACACCAATTCGACGACGTTACGAATTTGCTAATTCTGCGCTACTTCCACATGTTTGTGGATTCCACGCCATAACTATGGGGAGAGTGAAGGGAAAGTAAGCTGTCTAGCTAGGCTGCGACCATCTCAACTGCGTCGAGACTGATACTCGGACTCAAATATCCCGTAGACGTCTTTCCAGAAATGACAGAGATCTTCAGTACCTGATACTCCCTCGCGCTCTTCACCCACGCACTTGCCGGCACACTGTACTCATAAACGTAGTTGTTGCCACGGTAGGTTCCAACAGTCAGACTTCTGGTATCGCCCTGACCCTTGTCTGACTGCAAAGCAGCGGTCCAGCTGTTCACCGCAATAGCCGGTCTTCCACCAGACATGCCCTCTGTGACACCGATTCTGATCTTTGCGCCATTGGCTAGTTGCGCATCGTTGAGGCGGAAGTAGACGAGGTGGTCGTTGTTGATGTCTTTCCACATGTAGCCGGGGAAGTTGGCGGCGGAGCTGGTACCGACGATGTAGTTGCTAGCATCCCATTTGGCGAGGCGCGAATCGGATGGATGCATGTATGTAGGCTTCATGGGGCTGTCGCCGAAGTTCAGGAAACCTTTAGGTGTACCATCCCATTCGCCGATTCGCCATACGACAGCTGTATCTGACGGGTCGTTGCAGGTGATCGTGTTCAGCGCTACGGTGCCTCCAGCAGTGACGGTAACAGTGCTAGTGTGAACCTCGAGCTCCTGCAATATCGGGTGAGTTCACGTCGGATCAAAGTTCTGATGGATGGCTGTACTTACACCCTTGTATACAGTCAACGTGTACGAGCCTGGCAGAATCTTGCTGATTCTCCAAGAGCCGGATGATGCGATGGCCCAGTATTGCGCCTGGGCACTCTTCAGACCGACAACATACTGATAACCGCTCTTTATGTTGGCCAAACCAACGCCAGCGACGGCACCACGTTGACTTGCCGGAACCCAGCCATCGATTCCAAGGGAGTCCATCCAGTCCCAGTTAGCGTTGCGAGCGAAGAGTGCGGTGCTCGGTGCGGCACCGCTATCCGTGAAGTGGAGGACGGAGGGACCTTGCAGGCCAAAGCGCATCACATCAGTATGACCTATAGCACATTAGCATCTGCTTTAGTCTAGGACAAGAGCGAATTTGCGTACCCATGTTGTAGTGGTAGATATCATAGAGATCTGGGCCACCGCTACCTCCGCGGCGCACCAAACTTCGGAAGAAAGGCCCGCCCGACGCCTTCTCATGATTCGACCTAATCATGTACATGCCGACATTTCGATTGGTGTACCCAACCCAGTCGTAGTCCATTGTGCGGCCATACAACTTGCCGGAGTAATGTTTGGACCATGTCTGGCCGTTGAGCCCGTTGATGTCGCCAGACTCAATGGCAGTGGCACCGTCCGGAACCCAGTCCGTGTCTTCGTTGATGTTGTTGGTAAAGATGTTTGGGGGGATGCGAAGGATGTATCGTGACACAGTAATGCTGCTGTCTTTCTTGTTCATGAAGATATAGACGTTGGGGTTGCCATAGCGGAAGACGAGAGTGTGAACGAGCGTTCCTACTTTCATCGTCACCTTGATGACGTTGGTGTATTGCTGAATGGTGACGGTGCCGGGTGCGAGGCCAGATTCCACGTGCGAATTCTTCGCGTTCTGGCCGTTGTACTCAACGCCACGGTACTTGATCGAGGTCATGTCGGCGTTTGACTTGCTGACCTTGACGACGAGATTCGCGTTCGTATCGATAACATAGTTTTTGCCGTCATCGGTGTAGCCCCAAGCTGCAAAAACAGCCGTAGGGGCCAGAAGCAGGGCAGTAACGGTCGCTAAGAACCGCATCTTGAAGACTGACTGATGGAAGACAACGAGCTGGAAACCTCATGTGGATTCATTGTACAAGACGGCTTTATAGCAATGTATTTGCTTTCCCACGTGTGTGCGCAGGTGGTTACCACACACCATCACAATACCATCTTTCCCGGTGGTAGTATTGTACACTCCACGTTAGTTACCCAAATCGAGGTGGCTCCGCCATTAGGATAGAGCACCTACGCCTTGCGGAGTAGTGCATGGTGCTGATTGTACAAGAGCCGAGCATGGGTATATACTTCGCCCCAGCGTTTGTAGTACTACTCCGAGTCTAGCACGTCTAGTACCCGCGTGCGCATCATATCATTGGTGGGGCTGGCTTTCGGTGTTTCGAAGCAAATCCGGGGAAATTCTCGAAATTAAGAAGGAAGCTTGGTAGGCATTAGCACCGCCGAGCACACAAGTATGAAGGCATTATGGGCAATCGTGGAGGTAAAGCGGTGCGGATAAAATTTGTGCAGAGGTGAAGCGGGGACCATGATGTGGAATGAGAATGGATGGGCTTGCAGGAGTGATGGATGAGGGCGAAAGGGAAAGGCCATGTCGCGGGCCGAGGTTATGCCGATTGGTGAAGTTTGCAGAGCCAGACCCCGTGCCTTGTGACTGCCCCTCATGGAAGGCACATGCCGTCGTGATGCACAATTTCAATGTTTCCTTCTCGACACAACCTGTAAAAGTCCATGCCGAATATGGCGCTACACCTCCTTGAATGACAAGATAAGAAGGTTTTTACAGATACTTTGGGCCACCGATGTCTGAAACTTTCAGGCGTCCAGGCACATGTCCGCTGTGTGCTGGCGATCCTGTGGTAATCTACGAATGCCATGCTTTTTCTCGGCGCAGAGTCAAATATGGTTTGCATCCGAACAAGTTTGGCTTTTGTGTTAATGTGTACGAGGAAGCTTGGTTTTGAACGCCACAAGGTTTGCTTTGCCGCCGTCACATGTGCCATCTCATCGCAACTCGCAACGCATTCCCAGCCTGACACTCAAACAAGCACGCCATTGACGTCCAACAAACTTCACATAGTCAGCTTCCATTCTACGGAATGAGGCGTCGTGACTCACGTTTCATCCTCACGCATCCGCTTTCGGAGCAACTCTGTCCGCTCCTCAGGCTGATTCTTGAACTTCTCAATCTCCTGCTGTGACAGCGGCTCTGGTAGAACCCCCGCGTCGGGCTCAAACCACTTTTCTTTGGGCGTCTTTGCACTGTCAGCAAATACTGGGCTCGTTATTTGGGCCCTGAAGTATTTTGGAAAGCGACTCAGAAAAGCTTCAATGAGGTCAGGTCCTGTGTGATATGATCAGTACTGAAACGCCCCGATAGGTAGGATGCTTACTGGGTCCTTCCGCAGAGAGCACCTTGCGATCTGCAGTCAGCGAGCGCAGAACGCCGTCGTTGCTTAGGAATGTGATGCTGAGGAAATCATTCTTGAAGCTTTTGAGAATGCGCGTGCCATCTCGCTGAAGTGAATCACTGGTGTCGTGGAATGGCACGCATCTTGGGGCGGATAGTAGTTCTTCAGTGTTTGAGTCGGTCATGATGTTCAAAGTGGAGATGAGGGAAATAACTTTTGATCGATTTCGGGGTATAGAAAACATAAAAGGGTATGATGCCATGACGCCGCCCGTAGCGACTGCAGATGAGCGTGGTTCGTCACTGGGCGGCCATGCGCTTACAAACAGATTGTCCTCCCTAGAAAACATTACAAGTAAATGAGCGCTGCGCCCTGTTACAATCATAAATAGCCATGCCCAAGCTGGCACACAGCTCGAACGTGAAGTGCAGGACGTAAGCACTAAGCGCAGGATGCGCATTCGCCCCAAACATTATCAATTCGTCATTATGACATCCGAGGCGCCCTGTCGATAGACATGCGAGCAGCAGCGATATCCATAGACATGCGGGGAGCGCGGCTGTCAATGGAGTGCCTCGACAGCTGGTAGCTCATGCGCCAGTCGAGCGGCAGGCGACCTTCGTTTGTGGTACGTCGAGAAGCGTGGCCGATAACGACGTGCATCTCGAACTTGTCCAAACCAGTCTTTTGCAAGTACGCTTCGTATCCCTCAGACTTGGAAGCCCGCTTCATCCACTCCTCACTCACCGCCGATGGGTAGACTACGCGCAACAGGGGCTCGGCACCACGGAATCGGTAGTATTGTCGGATGTCGTCGTGGGGAAACAGGTGCAAGTCAATCCTCTTCATCGGCCCGTTGACTGCGGTAAGCCAGCTTTGGTTGCTGTTGGCAGGGTTTGGCAGCAGCTTGTTGAGCTCGCCAACGATCTCAGAGATGCTGCGGAAGACAACTCCCTCAGTGGAGGTGAAGCGACAATCGGTGCGACGTGTGCGGACAAGGCATCGGATGAGCGGCAACAGGTCAATGGGCTCCATGTCGAAGCACGCAGCATCGATGTCCAAAGAGACATGGCCCTTGAGCGAATCAATCTTGACCAGGTTCGACTTCTGGCTCCACAGGTCGATGATGTAGTGTGCCTTCTCCGCGTATATCGGTAGGAACTCCTCGCGAAGCTGGTGGCATACCTGCGTAAGGTTGTAGTATTGTCTCCGCTTGGTCGGGGTGGCTTCGCCTTCGCGTTGGACCAGTGCCGGATCATCGTGACGGCACATCCTGATGGGCACCTCCTCGCTCATGCGCTCGTAGATGCGGTTCCTTATCTCTGTGTGATATTAGCGCGTGTGTGCATTTATGGGCTAGGGAGTAACATACCTGGCGGCATGTCGAGGAAGCAAAGTGGTGCGGTCTTCTTGGGTGCCGGGATGTCTTCAACAACATCGTCAACGTCGGAACTGGTGGATGTGACTTCATCGATAGCCAGTTCTGGTGTCTCATCGTGTACAGACGGGGTACTCGGTTCGGGTTGCTGCTCGGGGGTGATCGCACGGGTTTCTGGTTCAGGTGTCGCACATCGCACAGGCGCAGCGGCGGCAATGTCGTGGACTTCAGGCTCGACTTGGGTATAGGCGACGGGAGTCGAGTTCCATGGCTCCTGTTCAGGGGTGGCGCAGCGAACAGGCGGGGTGACTGCACGAGCATGGTGTTCCTCGTGCTTTTGGTCGAGTTGCTGCGAAGGCTCCTGCTCCTCGGCTACTGACGATGTGTCTTGCTTTGTGGCGGATGTAGCTGTGACTAGGACCCTCTGTTCGACCATCCATCCTGCACTTGGTTTCGACTTCTCCGAAATGACAGCCAGCTCGACATCATCGTTCTTGCTGCCGCGACTCTCAACACTAGACCGTACACTTGCGCTCACTGGATTCGCGGCGCGCTCAAAACGGTCTTCATTGGGCGCGGTGATGTCGCTCGGCTTCTCAATCGTGGGGTGAAGGGTGGTTGCAGTAGTTCCATGCGCGTTGCTGGGCTCGGGCGTCGCGTCGTTTGTTTCAAGCGGCTCTGTTGACGTCTCACGCGTCCGTCTCGCCCGACCACAACTGAAAAGGTCGCCCAAAAACGACATGGCTGCTCTTCCACACCACCACGGCGAGTGCGTGGGTATTAGGAATAAGTACTGTGGGCAAGTCGCACAAAAGTAAAGAGACCGGCACAACCGTCTATTGGGGCACCTGCTAGCTCATATGTTTCTTCAGTCAGGATTGCGGCATCGAGTGAGAACAAAGGCTAAACCCTTTCAATGGTCGATGAAACGCATTGGGCGAATGAAGTCGTCGGTAAGATTGCTATCACACTGAGATGACCGGGGTGGGGCACGTGCTTTACCCCTGATCAGCGCCTCCGATCCCCACTTTCGATGAGGCTTATCTTATCTGCCTTGCAGCGGCAGATTCACAATTCCAGCGCCTGGCATCATGCCCGCATCTTGTCCGGCCTGCCGGTAGTCGCCGGGACGGTGCGCGCAGGTGATGTGTCTGGCGCAACTTACATGTCGATTAAGGTTGCCATGAAAGTTTGTCTGTGACCCGTTCACACGCGGTCAATGGGCTCATCTCGGACTAGCGAAAATCGCCGAAGAAAAAGCTTCGGTCACTTGAGCGTCCATGGCGGAATTATTTGATTCTCTATACCTTTATTGTCTAACGCAAAGCTCTTCGGGTACGTGCATGCTTGACCAGACATCGCAGCCTAACGATTTGCGGAAATGTCCAACGCGCGACGTCATTGCCAACCACGATCCACCACCACGGGAACTGTCAGGCCGGAGCACCTCATCAAATATTCTCGGGCCATCTTCGATATGCGACATACATACGGGAAAATGAATATACGATACCAGACGATCAACAAATACTGGCAGGCCACGATCCACCGGGACTAAAGACGATCTGCAACGATTGGACCCATCTGCAGGGCAGCAGCTCCCTTCTCAACGTCTCCCAGCATTTTGGCGTTCTCACGCATCTTGCAGTACGTCCAAGCCGCCACCTGGAGCGCCAGTAACCCGGTCAAGATCTCCGAGTTGTTGATATACGTAGTGTATGGCGCGCCTTCATTGTGTGGGTGATAGTATCGGAGGCACAGGACGCGTACCGCGTTCTCGAAGAGGTGGTAGTAGGCTAGTCGAATGATCGCGTCCTGGGTTGATACCAATTCTGTCGTATTCCAGATCATCGTCCAGTCGAATCGAGGCTTGACGATATGGTTGCGGTCGGTTGCTGCGGGATCACCAGACACGCCTTCCCAAACATTGTTGAGGAATGTTCCCAAAGACGTACATTCCCAAGCACGGAGGTCAATGAAATCTGTAAGGACGAGGATGTTCAAAGGTGATATTGCAAGCCAGGGAATAATCCAGTCTAGGGATCGCAGCTTCAAATGCAGCATACCTGAGAATATGGCTAAAAATCGCACGATGAGGCTGGTAGCTAAGAGGCAGTGAAGAAGCTGGTGCTTCATTTTCTCGAATGAGCGCGAATAGCAGGTGGAGAGTCCGATGAGGCTGAAGGAGATGAAGAGCCAGGTGAGTTGGCTCGGTGCTTCGAACATGTCTTTGATGATATTTGCTGCGTCTTCTGAATGATGAAGATCTCCGTACAAGTACTCATGATCTGATTTTCTCAAGTCTGGTATGGATTGCCTACCAAAAAGAATGTCGCATGCGGCAAGTGAGATCAGCCATGGTAGTATTACTAAACACCCAGTAGTGCCGGTCAGCATGATGTGTGTTTAACGGTGCGATCGACGTCGGAATTTGTTGAATGTGGAAGGTTGTGGCGTGAATATTGGAGGGTGCATGTTGACTTTATCTAGGATGGTGTACGCCTATGTCTTCGGCAGGTCCGCTACCACGAACCATCATTGCGTCCGTCCATGGTTCGGCGGTATCACGACCAAGACAGTAGACCAATCATATTATGAGTCTGCGTAATCATAGTGACGAAGCGTTCCCTTCGACCAATGCGCGAATGTGTGAATAAACTTACCAATATGGACTAGCGCATTATGGCGGACGCCCCCGAGGTCACTCTCTCACCAGGTTCTTCAGTCATACGTATCAACTCCCACCGGTTACCACAGCACACAACTACAACCAAACTTCAGCCTCGACCCGCACCATCTCGCAGTCGCCATGCAGACAGAAAACACGCACTCACTGCGCCGACTTGGTACCAAACAAGATGCGACAAAGCTCGGCTTTATGGATCTACCCGGAGGTAAAGCAGCAACTCTTTAGGTCGACAAATACCAGTGCGCTAACATTCACTGCAGAATTGCGCAACACGATATACTCATATTGTGAGACACCTAGAAACGAGAGCTTAAGTCGCCGATCACCTTCGGTGGACGAAATAGGGCATCGGACCTACTTCCATCTCTGCCAGGTCAATGACCAAATTCGTCAGGAAGCGCTTCCATTGCAATACCTTAACTTCACACATCAATTCCCTCTCAAAGATCTTGCCGCCTATGTGGACACGTTTCTGGTACCGCATAAAGGACACTCCCTGGTCGGTAGTGCCTCCTTCACCTTCCAACCCGATCGACATTTCTCTCGCTTCAACATTACTCCGCTTGCCCGCATGTGTAAGAGGCACCCGAAATTCGCCGTCAGACTCAATGGCTTCAGCTCTGTCCCCTCGGATTTTTCTATACGCTCGGATCTGCTCATAGCGCGAGCACGCAATCTCGACATGCAGTTCCATAAATCAATCGATCGCTTTCGAGTTCCATCCACAGGTTTGGAAAGTTTCACTGCCTCTCAGCGTAGATGGAGCGAGTATCTCGACAATGCTGTCGAGGGAATATGGATTCATGATGACAACAACCGGCTCAATGTAGACATAGTGGTCAAGTCCGAGGCATCTGAACCGTGGATGGACGATTTCGCCAAGCCCAATTGCTGGCGCTGGCGCTGGATCTGTGATCACCCTCACTACAGGAAGGGATACGAGGCGTGGGTACACAAAACTGGGGCTCCATGGCTATGTACAGAGAGCATCTTTTCTGTCAGAGTGGCGAGTTCGGTCCGAGTGTAGCTGTTCAAATGACAGCTACATGGACATGGCTTCTGTTTCGTTACTGGAAGTGAAGTGAGATTTGAAGGAGTTGCTCAGCTTATACTTTGC